CTATACCGGCACTTGCGGCCCGTGGACAAGGAGGGCAAGAGCCTCCACTTCAAACCCCGCCTCGACAAGGTACGGCAGCGTTGGTTCTCCGCAGTCTGTAGGCATGTCTCACGTCTCATGTCTCCTCAATGTAGAGTGTACACCAGTCTAGCTGGAATGACTTGTTTCACGTTGCTTTGACTCAGCCGCAGCAGCTCTGGAAGGCGAACCGATGCCTGTCTGGAAGAAACTTGTGTTTTTTATCGAGCTCGTGGCCGCTAGGATTGCGCCCCCCCCCCCCCCCGCTTTTATCGTCTTCTGTTTTCATACCCTCACGCGTGCAACCACCAAACGATGACCTTCTTTCTTCGCTCGTCTCGTTTGTCTCCGCCATGCAATCATGGAAAATCATGGTAAACTGAAACCGAAGGTTCTTGCGGCGGAGGGGAACAAAGGCGTTCCCCTCGACCCAGCGCTGGCGGACTTGTTGCAAGGTCTCCTCAAGCTCGACTCGCGACATCGCTTGAGTGCAAGGGACGCCCTGGCGAGCCCTTACTTTGCGCCCAGGCATGGGCAGCATGACGAAAGGGTGAGAGCACTGAGGAGTCCCGGTTGGATTTATTTTTGTGTTGGACTTGCCGCTGCAGAGCTGTACAGATGATCCTGCACACAACCCGGAGAAAATGCTGGTAAAGCTGCTGGCTCTGCCACCGATCGATTTCCTATCGTGTGTCAACCTAGTAACCTCGTCAATGTGTATCCCATTCATGGCCTCCCTCTCGATCCTTGCCACATGACATGACGTGACACGGGCGTGCAGCTGGATGCGTGGGTTACCTTGCGGGGTGACCTAGATAAGGTGCAGATGGGAGTGGCTACGCCGGATCAGCTCCGCGGCACGTTCGCCGCCGCCAATGCGCCCACGGGGCCTCCACCTCCCCCGCCCCCGCCCAGAGGTCTCGCCGATGCTCCTCCCCCGCCGCTTTCACCTAGAGGCGGCCCTTCAGGACACCCTAGCCAGCACGGCCGTCCACAGAGGGATAGGAAGGAGGAGGAGCGTGCGGGCCGCCGCTCGCACGCCGACAAGGCACGCGAAAGCAGGCGTGCGCGAGGAAGGGGCGTCGCGACCCCTTCCCCGCCACGCGAGGGCCTCCACATCTCGGTACAGCTTCCCCTCAAGCCTGATCCACCAGGAGGGTATGGCGCCGTGTCGGTAGAGAGGACTGGCAGAGCGGGGCGGGCAGATCGGGGACGCCTCGAGGATCACGTCAAAACCCGTAGCCCAAGCCCCAGGGGGGGTAGGAGGCGGAGTCCGGCGAACGGCAGGAGGGAGCGGGAGCGGGAGTGGGAGCGGGAGCGGGAGCGGGAACGCGAACGAAGGGGAAGAAAAAGGGACAGAGAGAGGGAAAGGGGTGTAACGAGGTCGCGCGAGCGCGAGTGGCAGGGCGGTGAACGGTCGGGCAGGGACCCGCGCCGTGGTAGTCGTTGACGATACTTACAACACACCCGGCGCTATGGCATATAACACGGCGGGGTGTTCGGTCCGTAAAGGGGTTGCTTGATGTAGGCGCGATCGCGATTGTAAGAGAAAATTAGTTAAATCACCACGAATGAATGGCTATTGTTAGATTTGGGCTGACGGCTGTGTCGGGAGGTGACACTGTGAAAAAGGGGCAGTGGTGTTGACTGTTGACTTGGGGTCTTGGTTGGATCTTGCGATCATGCAGCCAGCGCACAAGAGAAACTTAGTGGCGTGAGTATGGGTTGCGTGGAGTCGATTCCAAGTCCAGCGAAAGGGTCAGGCATGTGATGAAATGTTGAGGTGCCGACAAAAAGTGGCGCCAAAGCAAGAAAGGATTTGTGCCGGTGTGACGTCTTTTTGTTGTTCAGATCAAATGAGTTAGTTAGACCAGTTTCTTCTTCCTTTCGTAGTCGAGGGTGTGGTCTCCGTTCAACTGATTGTCTGAGTTCCTGTGTGCTGCTGTGACTTGCTGGCCCCGAAGCCGTGGCAACGAGTCACGCACTTCCCCCCCCCCCCATTTTTTGTTTTTGGCGTGAGCACCCAGTAACACCCCGCCCAAAAAACATAATTCACGAAATACATATATGCATGCCGTAAATCCTGCTCGGGCCTGATCGTTTTTCTTGATCGATCAAAACTCGTGGGACACAAATGCGAAACATCACAAGCAATGGCCTGGCCAGAACTTTTGACTACTTTCTAATGCACCCGTGCATCGGTATCCGTACGCGTCTCACCCGCCTTCCTAGGGCAGTTCATCCGGCATCCACCATGGACGTTCCACGAGGAGATCGTGGTGTTCGTTAAAGTCTCGTTTACTGATGGTGCGCATAATGTTCCCCCACCGACATGGATAACTATCATTCCACCCGGTCGTTGAGTTACCGCTGGCCCTTCTTGATCCTTGCCAACCCTCCCATGCGTTTCAAAGCACAGGCCTACGTCGCGCGACAC